AGTTTAATGGTAGCGCTGCTTTTTGAAGTGGTCTGGCGTGTTTGCGTGTGCATATGCTTCAGTCTCGCTTGGCTCGCTGAAGGCTGGGTGCTTTCTGTCTGAGCCGGGGGGCTCTGCCACGTTGCCTTACGGCTCAGCGCTATAGAAACCGGGTCAAACAACTCGCTCTGCAGCTCTTCTTCTCCCTCCCTGTCCTTCCTCTTTCTCCTCCACCACCACCACCAGGGCAAACTGTCTGTGAATAATCTGCAGAGATTTATAATTACCCTACCCACAGATGAATTTAGCAATCAGAAGGAAAAAGCTTGTTGGCTTAAAAGAGGCCATTTGTCTCCCTGTTGCATGAAGTAATATTAAACAAAGTAAAAAGAATAAAAGAAATTGTTCACCCAGAAATTAAAATGATCATTGTATACTTATCCTTTGTTTCTTCCCTGCAACACAAAAATGATGCTTTTCATGTTTTTTCCCCAAGCAATTATGATGAACAAGGACTGCAGTCTGAAGCTTCAAAAAGTATCCTGGAGGTAAAGATGAAGATTGTCAATGAACACTGGAGTAATTTCTGGTCTCTTTCTGACAGAAAGCTTTATATTTAGACGTCGCTTATTGATTCCTTTTTGAAGCTTGAATGTTTTGGTCTTCATTCATTGTAATTGCATGGAAAAGTGTGGCAGGAACAATATTCAAAATGTCTCATTTTTGTGATCCACTGAAGAAAGTAAATCAAATGGGTTTGGAACCTAATTAATTGATGACAGAATTATTATTATTCCTTTAAACTGAACTGTAAATACATTTCAGTTGTTTAGAACTTTCTATATTTTGTTCACATTTGTGTCTAGTTATGGCTGACACTTTGTTGTGGCTGCTTGTAATATCACTAATATGTGCATGAGAGAGTTTTCAGATCTGTAACAATCAATTGAGGGACCCTGTTAAACATTGAACACCATGACTGAGCGTCAGATGACTGCAATAACCATTTCTAACATTATCACAGGCATTTATGAACATTCCTTTCAAAACTTCTGTACATTTTATAACAAGATACGGCGGTTGTGTTTTGTAGCAACAGTGTTATTTTAGTAGAATTTCTATACTATTATAGTATTTAATAATATTTTAAATTCGCTTTTTTATTTTCAAATAAATTTGTGCTTTTGTTATTTTTAAAAAATATTTCAATTTAGTTTTATTTATTTTTTAGCAATTAAATAATTAAATAAATAAATAATCGTTCACCTAAAAAAGAAAATTTGTTGAATTTACTGACCCTCGGACTATCCAAGATGTAGATGATTTTGTTTCTAGATCTAAACAGATTTGGAAAAATTAGCTTGTGCCCCCAATGGACTCTCTGCACTGAATGGGTGCCGTCAGAATAAGAGTCCAAACAGCTGATAAAGACAATCAAAATGATCCACAAGTAAACTAATAATGCCTTTTCCCTGTTGTCCTTTAACATCAAAATCCACTGACATAGTTGTTTAAATGTTCTGAACAGTTTTCAATTGAAAACCGTGTTTGATCTGAGCATATTTCTCTCCTGATTCAGACGAGACGACTTTTTCACTGGAGAAAGCAATTTTATGGATAGATGACTTAATGTTAATTGATGTTAATTTCTTAATGAAAAATGTGTTTCTTACAAGCACACTGCATTTTGCTTCACAAGATGTTAATTGATGAACTATAGTCATGTGATTTACTTGTGGATTATTGTGATGTTTTTATCAACTGTTTGAACTTTAATTTTGATGGTACCCATTCACTGCAGAGGATCCATTGGTGAGCAAGTGATGTCAAATTGATGTTAAATTTCTCCAAATCTTTTCCAATGAAGAAACAAACTCCGCTACATCTTGGATGGCCTGAGGGTGAATACTTTTCAGCATTTAATTTTTTTGGTGAACTATTCTTTTAAATAACTTTAACATTTTTCCTGAGGGTGAATAATTTTCAGCATTTAATTTTTTTGGTGAACTATTCTTTTAAATAACTTTAACATTTTTCATCTAATATTTTATTATAGCTTTATTTCAATGAATGAAAATTTTTATAAAAAAATTTAAGTTAACAATAACAACACTGTTCAGCACTAAATAGTTCAGCAGTGTGTATGGCAAGGCTCTGGGTCCCCTTGAGTTTGTGCCGAGGATCGCACCCTGCAGCCCCGTCTGCGTCCGTTTATGTAGGTGCACACAGCAGCTGGCATTGTGCTGGGCAACTCGGTAAGGGCAGGGCTGGGCAGACCGCTTGCCATCTGGGCTCATTGCTGAACGGCAGCCATTACATATGAGCCACCGTCCTCCAAGCCTCAAGGAGAGCCACAAGAAACAGGGTCCAGACACAAGAGGACAGCGAGAAGACGTAGGATGTCAACCTGAAGCACTATAATGCACCCTAGATGAACACAACAAAGCACTACCTTAAAAGCTCTTACCTTCTCGCATTTAGGCCAGAAATGCTGAAAGCAGCAGAGTGGTGAGGGCGGGGGTCTGCGTTAGCATGTCAGTGTTTCTGTGGCGTTAAAAGCTCAGATGCAGATGCTCGCTGTGCAGCGTCACAGCCGGGATTCTGCTTGCTCGCATTCATTGTTTGTTTTTGTGAGTGTCTGGCTTCAAACAATAAATGCCCCAAGAATTTGGAGCATGTGTGGACAGATGAGAGACTGAGAAAGGGCAAGTTGTTTCTGTGTTTATTGTCGCCATTTTGTCTCCCCCTGACCAAAGTTGAATGGAACCGATTTAATTAACGGTTTCAACCCATGGTCATATATACATATATTTACATATGAAATATTGGAAGAAATTCCTAAAAACTGAATTGGGCTTCAGAAAAGTTTAGATTTAGTATTTTCTTTTCATCTTTCCTCTATATAATGCATATTAATGTAGTTAAAAAAAAAGAGCTGCTTTGTTTACAGCACTAACCAAGGAAACTCTTTATTGCAGCTGTTCCATAAGCGCCACCTGCTGGCAAAGAATGAATTTGCGCTCTTATTCAACCTGCTTGCGGTTTCTGTTTCATGCAGATATGTTTTACGTAGCATAATTTCACAAAGTTAAGGTCAGACTATTGTGTTTTTGCTTTAAATTTTGAAATTACACAATCTAATTTACAATAAAAACTCAAACTGCTCAAACTATAGGTAGCATGTTTGTTTGGATCGTGATTAAAATACAGTGGTTCTGCATAGTGCTGGGCGGTATACCGGTTCATACCGAATACCAGTGTTTATTTTTGTTATGATATGAATTTTTAAAATACCGCAATACCGATGTATGTCGCTTAAACAACCTTCGGAACGCGACACTGTTTGAAAGGGCTCCCTTTTCACTGTCGCACTGTGGTGAGGGAACAGCTGTATGTGTTACTAAGCGTGAAAGTTCAGAAACTGAAGCTGTAGAACTAATAGAACGTGATGACACAGAAACTCATCCACAATATCCACATTGACCGCCACAAATATCCACTGCCCCCTGCCATCAGCTCCCGCATCTCACACACACACGAGCGCAACTTTAGCACTAGATTTAGCAACTTTCAGACCCTTTTAGCGGCTTTTTTCCATAGAATATTCATACTGACAAACCTAGTGACTTTTTTGGATAAACCTTTTTTGGATAAAAAAATTTGTACAAAACAGCGTTTCCTGGCACCTGTCGCTTACTGATTGTTTGGAATTATAAATATGAGCTATAGTTCGTCTGTTAATATCACATGCACTTTTTTTGTTTGTTGTTTTTTTTAGTTAGTTACTCAGACGCAGGCAGTGCGCTGCATGAGACAAAAAAGTAATATATTCAAAACAACCGCATAGCCGCTCTTTAGTGTAGATGCATGTTGATTTTATCAGACGATGCCGCGATTATAAATGAGAGTGACTCCTGGTTAACATGTATTAAAAGGGGTCGTGTTTAGTCACTATTTAGTGTGGTATTTTTTGAAAATATTCACTCATCATGACTAGTGGTCGACCGATATCTTGGAAAGCAGGGAGGCCGATATAAAGCCGATATAATTTAATTTAATTTATATTTAAGAAATTTGAAATCATTTGAAAATGGATTAAAAATAATTGTGTAAAATAAACATACTTATACTTTAGAAGACAAAGCATTTTTCACAAATAAATAAATATTTAATAAAAATCTAATTAAAAAGGAAGTAAACACTGTAACCAACAAGGCACTCCGTATTCTGGGACCGTATTACCTTGGCTTCTTCAAATAAAGCCAAGGTAACACTCATTTTACATACAGCACGCAATGAAAATGACATGAATATGACAGTGGGCAAATGCATAAAGCGCAGCATAATTTGAAATCACTAACTTAGTTTAAAGTTTGTCGATCGTGTATCTCCAGTGAAGCTGAACTCTCCTCCTGTCAGCATTCAATTTGACACCGATCATGCAGGATACACATGCACACTTCACAAGATCTCATCTAGATTCGACTAAGTTTGCAAGGTTTGTGAAATTAAATGTTCATTAGTCATTCAAAGATTTGTTTAAATGATATAAATGCGTATTTGCTGAATGCTGACGGCAAATGAGAAAGTATTATAATGTTTGCCTTTCTATTACTAATAATATTAAAGCAATCGTTATAATACTTTTTTGTATACTTTTTATTTCCTTTGTTTAACAGTTTTATTTGATTATTAGATAGACTTCTATCCATATTAGACGGAACTGAATGACGACAGCGAACAAGAGGGAGAATGTGAGCCCTGTGTGCCGTCAAAATAAAAGTCCCGCCTCGAACACATTGGCCAAACAGAAAAACTTATCGGCCGATATTGGCATTATTGCCATTTTTCAAATATCGGACGATATATCGGCCTTGTCGATATATCGGTCGACCACTAATTGAGACGTGATGAAACAAAAGCATGGATGAGAGTTTCTGCACATTTGACAATAATGAAAAGACTGAGCCGGACTATTCGTTGTAAATGAAAGAATGCTGATTTAGTGAGAGAGAGTTAATATGAGACTGACAAGAAAGAGAGGAGTCAAACATAACACCAAGATTTTTGATGATACAAGATGGTGTGATGAGAGTACCAGTGATATTGCAGGTAAAGTCAGGGGGAACTTTGGTAGTGAGTGACGGGGTTCCAATAATGATGATCTCAGTTTTATCCATATTAAGTTTTAGAAAAATAGAGTTGAGCCATACTTTTATTTCCTGCATGCAAATAGAAATTTGGTCAATTTGGGTGGATAGAGAAGGCCTGCAAGATGTGTAAACTTGAATGTCATCAGAATAAAAATTATAGCTAAAGCCATGATGCTGTAGAATCAGACCCAATGGTAAAATATAAATGATAAACGGCAAAGGCCCAAGAACGGAACCCTGGGGGACGCCTTGTTTCAGGGGGCAGTAGGAGATCTGAAATCCTGAACAGAGATGTAGAATTGTCTATCAAGGAGGTATTAAGAGATCCAGGAAAGAGCAGTACCAGATATACCCACATCCGAGAGGCTAGAAATAAGCAAATCATGAGAGATCGTATCGAAGGCAGAGCTGAGGTCAAGTAGCAGAAATAAAAATAGTGAGCCAGTGTCGCAAGAAAGTAATAAATCGTTCACTACCTTTACAAGGGCAGGTTCAGTACTATGTAGTAGACGGAAGCCAGACTGAAATGTTTTTATATATTTATGATATATTAGTATAGAATGGTTTTTATATAAGATATTTTAATTTGCTGACAAGTAACTCAAATTAAGCTCTTTAATGTCTTTCAATATTTCAGTTATCTTTTTTTCTTCTCTTTTATTTTCTTTGCTTTGCTTTTCTTCTCTTTTCTGTCTGTCTTTCTGTCAGTGTATCTCACGGCGCGTGTCTCTTCTGTTCTCAGTCTAGCGCTGCATCCGGATAAGATCCAGGTGGCCACAGGTCAGGTTGGGAAGGATCCGTATATCTGCGTGTGGGACTCGTACGCGCTGACCACCGTGTCCATCCTCAGAGACGTTCACACGCACGGTGTGGCCTGTCTGGCTTTCGACGCCGATGGCCAGGTGAGTCACATGACTTCCTGCACGGCTCTCTGAAATACTTCATTCTGATTGGCTGCATTCTCTAATACATATGCAATAAACGTATTAATATGAACATATTTTTGTCATATTTCGGGGTGTAACAATATATGGCTTGATGCACAATATTGATCTCATGATACGATACTCTCACTATACTTTCAACAAACTACAGTTAAAATGGTACTTTTTTATTATTACATCTAAGTTATATGATAAATGGTTAACAAAATAAGATAGAAATATTCATGATTCTGCTTAGTTACAATATTATTATTGTTAGAAACAAGCTTGTTCTCTGTCCCTGACTACATACATTTAAAAAAATATATTTTTATCAAGTAATATATATATATATATATATATATATATATATACAGGGTGTGATTTGTGAACAAACCAGAGGGGGGGACGTTTTGAAATTTGAAATTTTTTCCCTTTAAATTATATCACAAATCACAGCAATATATATATCATTTTTGGCAACTGTTACAAAACCAATTTTACAATAAATATTCTGAATTGACCTTGAGATTAGATAGCTTCAATATTTGACCACTATTTATGATAATACTTGTTTCTTGTTCTATCCAGCCTGGACTATTGCAATGCTCTCTTGGCAGGTCTTCCAGCCACTTCTATCAAACCTTTTTTAGCTTAGTTTATTTGATTTCAAGTAACAAAATAGTTTTAATTTTAGTTTCAATCTTATTTTTAGGTAACTATATTAACCCTGAGTAGTATTGTTATTAAAATCAGATTACCTTCATCTGTTTGCAAATGCTCTCATCTAACGGCTTATTTTGTCCTGTCTCGTGTTTTTGAACATTCAGCGTTTAGCGTCCGTGGGACTTGATGCCAAAAACACGGTGTGCGTGTGGGACTGGAAAAAGGGGCGTGTCTTAGCCACCGCCACGGGACATTCTGACAGGGTAAGAACAGAACTGACTGTTCCTCATTACCGACAGTTAATTACATCAAAACCGCACAGTCACCATTTCATTCATTAGGCCAGAAAGTTTGTGACTTTAGTGCATGAAGTGAAAAGCACAGAAAGTGCCCATCCAGTCGACACATGGTAGGACTGTTTCCATAGCAACAGATGCTACACCTCAGTGATGTGAATGAATAACCGTTAAGAGCGTTATGAATAAGTTATTGTGTTGTGCTACAGTACAAAGGAGCATTTCAATGCACGAACTGACAGACAGAGTGTTTCACACACACACACGCTCAGTGTGAAGGGAGTCTGAAGCCTCAGCAGAGATGACAGAGCAGCTTAGTGAAGAACCACAGACACCAGAAGACTCCCTAAGGTGCCATTAAAATCCTGCTGTCTTCTCTCTGCTGTTCCAGCTCAACAGCTTCACTGCCGGGAGTGCCGATTGAATATAAAGCAATTTAGAGTTTATATCGTTTGCATTTTATATTCATGCATTTGACAGAAGCTTTTATCTGAAGCAACGTACATTGCATTCAAGGTATATGATTGATCACTTCATGCATTCCCTGGAAATCGAACCCGTTGCTAGCAGCATGATCTACTGTTTGAGCAACAAGAAGGCTTTATTAATTGTTTATTTGCAGATAATGCATGCAAATAATGAAGAAATCACATTGTTTGAAAGATAAATGGATAGTTTAAAATGAAGAATTATGGAAAGAAGAAAAATTATGTTGATTAAGATGCTTAATGCATTGTTCTTGTTATAAATTGCTGAATTTTTAGCTAATTAGCAAGCATGACTATAATTACACAGCCCTGGATCTTGAAAAAATAAATAATTTGCCAAAAATATCTGAAGAAAAACTTATTTTATTTCAAGTTATGTAATAATATAACTAAAACCTAAATAAAATCAATAAAAACCATATAGAGATATGAAAAAAACTTATAAAAATGACAAAACACGCTACAAAGTCACTACAAACTTGAACTAATATTCAAATGAAAGTGGAAAATATAAAAATATTACTTATTCAAAATATTAATAAAAAATACTAGTATCCCAATTATGCTAAATATAACAGCTGATTTGCCTAATTTGATGATGCCGAGTTCAAAAATAACAATAAAATCTTTCCAACCGTTTTTTCCTACTTTTTAAAAAGTATATATGTATGTATCTGCTTTAATGCATTTATCAAAATAACAAAAGCAGTAAAATGTCTAAAGTTTTGGTTTTAATGACCAAAAAAATTCTAAATTGATCATTTAAATTACAGTCTGCAAAAATCAGGATCATGCATAAAATAATGTCATCAGAATCATTCAATTAATATCTTCAAGACATTCAATGTCTTCAGAATCAGTCTGGCTGAGAATTGAGCAAATCATTGGGATGTGGCTCAGATTCAGATAAGAATCATAGCTTTGTGGTGTTTTTCTGCTGATTAAGAGATAATACGAGAATTCTTCACCTTACTAATGTTTGTTGAAAGCAAAAATGCTATGAAATGCATCATATTTTATGAGAAAGTGTGTCGTGTTTGAGCAAAACCGCCACTATTTTTAAAATCAGCACCTCAAGAAACAAGTATTGGATTTTATTCAGCAAATATGATTCAGGTATTTGCATTATAATTTCCATTATATTTTGCATTGTGTATCATTTTAGAGACTTCTGCTTAATTCAGTGTAATCGGTTTTGGCGTAATGAAAGTTATGGAAGATGTTGTGGAAGAGTTGACATGTTTATTTCACCTTTTTGTGCTGCGTTTCAGATCTTTGATATTTCCTGGGACCCGTTTGTGCCGCACAGACTGGTGAGCTGCGGAGTCAAGCACATTAAAGTGAGTCAAACCCCTGAGACAAAGTTCACTCGAACCCGCTCTCGGAAACAAATAAATGAGGCATCACTGGAAAACATGCCGTAATTTATTCCTCCTTTCCTTTCTTGTTTTCATCTTTACAGCAAATGCAATGCTTTTTCACAGACTTCAAGAAATGCATTAACATACTGAACAACTGAGACAGAAGAATATAATTTAAAGCCAAAAATCTAATTCTGTCTGATTTAGTCAACCTGTATGACTTTTCATTTAGTAAAAGTGAATGCACAGATGTCAAGCTCTAAAAACGAAGTTATGCATGCACAATATTTTAAGATTTAAAGCTAATTTGCATGAGCAACAAACTGAAATGAATTAAATATGAAGGTGATTTTCTCTTTTGTCTCATAGTTTTGGACATTATGTGGAAATGCATTGACACCAAAACGAGGGATCTTTGGAAAGACGGGGGACCTGCAAACCATCCTCTGCTTGGCGACGGCGAAAGATGAAGTGACGTATTCTGGAGCTCTAAATGGAGACATTTACGTGTGGAAGGGGCTCAACCTGACGAGAACGATACAGGCGGCGCATGGAGTGAGTGAAGCTCATCACACTTCCTACACCATCACTCCCACCACATACACATCAGCTGTGCGCTATAGCATCTCCATTAAAGGACATTAACTGAAGTTACAATTTATGATCAGACATTCAATGCATTGGCCATCTGTGTCATGCATCTGTGACATTAGTGAATATAGCATGTGGTGACGTGTGACCTGTTGCACATGCGTTTGTAAACTCTCGTTGTTCTGCAGGCAGGGATCTTCAGCATGCATTCATGTGAAGAAGGCTTCGCCACCGGTGGGCGGGACGGATGTGTGAGGCTGTGGGACGTGGATTTCAAACCCATCACCAAGATTGACCTCCGGGAGGCAGAACAGGGTTATAAAGGTAAAGCATTACAGCGGGCCTTTTTCTTGCCCTTTTGAAATAGTTTAATGTACTGTGTGACATGCTTATTCACAACACATCTTTGACTTCATTAACATTTACACAGCAAATAACTATTTCTAATCTGACCAAGTGTGAATTGCGTGAATTGGTGGGACTTTGGAACGCATAGCGTGAATCTTTTCCCCGATTTTTGTTTTCTATTAAACCGTACAAAACATTTTTTTTATGGTTTAATTAAATTTTAATAATCAAAAAGGATGTTTAATCAATTGAATTCATAAAGCTTTAACAATGTAATAATTCATCGCACTTTTAACAATGACATTTCATTTTTTAATTTTCCTTGATTCCACTTTTAATGGTTTCGTTAAATTTTAATAATCAAAAAGGAATCATGAAACTTTTAACAATTTAGTAATTTGTTAAATTTTTAACAATAATAGGGACTTTTCTGAAATTCTTGATTGTCTGTTTTGAGTGTTCTGGATTCTGTGTTTTATGACTTAATAAAAATCTATGATAAAAATGGCTGATAATCAAATGAACTACATCAATAAAAACTCACATCATAAAACTTAGATGATAATTTAATCTTTTAAAATGTTATCAAATGAAATGTGAACTAACAGAGACATTTTTGAACCCTAACAGAGGTTTACGAGTTAAATTGAAGCATGGACTAAAACTTGTGTTTAATAAACTGTATTATTGCTATTAGTTAAACCGAATTATATGTTAAACCAAACTTTTCTTTTGGCGGGTTGTAGTGAAGACCTCTGTCTGAAGATTAAGTGTACATTTCAATTTATTGATTACAATTTTTTTTCATTCCGTGTTAAACAGTAAATTCCATTTTTGTGACTGGATTCAGTGATTTTGTTTGTGTAAATAATAATAATAGTGTATATACTGTATAATAAGAATAATAGGGCTTTATGTAATGAACCACAAAAGCTTATACCATTATTGGCCATTTTTCAAAAGGAAATTGCATTGCATCCATCGTTTGACTCCTTATGGAGGTACAGCAGCATGCTCAGTATAGAAGGGATTGTGTCACCATGGCAACACGGCCTGCGCTTCTATCACACGAGTGACAGTGTTATCAGCAGATGTAAGTCTTGTAGCAATGAAGCTGTCAGCGCTTTCACAGCAGAAGACTGTCAGATAATTGGCTCTCAACAGGGTCTCAAACTGTGCTCAGAGTCTCAATATGAACTCAAACATTTCTCATTAAATGATCTGAGCTGCTCACTCATTTTTTAGTTCTGTAGTCGTATTGGATGAAGACTCTGGGTCTGTTTATGTTACATTTTGCTGGTGTGTCCAATTTAGACTTCCAAGTAACATGTTTTTGACTTTTTTCTGCTTTAAAGGTTCATTTTTGGGGGTTTTACAGCCAGTTAATGAGCCAAATTAAATTCTGCCCTGCTGGAAACACCAGCTTATGACAACTGATGAGTGTGAAGCTTTTTCACTCTCTTTTTTACTCTCAATTTATTATCAATTTAGCTATTTTTTGGTGTTCATTTTAATTGTTCAATGCTATATATATATATTTTTTTTAAGCTCTAAGGTCGTCTTTTAGACGTGATGCTATTTTTCTAAGTAAATTAACTTTTGGTTCAGCATTACTGGTTTAATTCCTGTATGTGGATTTTTCTTTATGTCCCATGTAATATTGATAAAAAAAAAAAATTCTGATTAGTAACCGTATTATTTATATACTATTGTGTTTATTAGCATCTTGAATAATTTCATTTTCATGTATATAATATATTAGGGATGTTCATTTTAACCGTTTAACCGACCGTAAGAATTTTGACCGATTAATACAATCAGTTAAACAGTTTAAAAAGTCATTTATAATGACTTATAAAAAATCATGTATATGCGTATAAAAAAAAAAGTTTTTTTAGGGAGAAAAAAACATAAGTCGCGTATAAGTCGCATTTTATTGTTTCATTCAGAAATAGGCCTAATGCCGACGCAAAATGTTTACAAACATTATAATAAACACTGTAAACATAGCTAGGCTATTTTAGTTCCCCTCACTCCTCAACAAATCCTTTCAATTAACAGTATTTAGAAAAGAACAAGAATTAAAAATATAAGAAGCTATAGCAATATAAACGACAAGCC